CTCCCGCGCCTCGGCCTCTTTCCCCGCGGGGCCGCGTGTCCGAGGAGGTCTCCTTGGGATCTCGGCCCGCGGCGTGGGCCCCTCTGGGTTTCTCCTCCGGGCGAAACGTTGGCGCTTCCAGCCAACGCCAGGAGGCGCCCCGGGAACGCCTCTCCGCGCCAGACTCGCTGTGACCTTGGTATGGGTCGGTGGGGTCTGGACGCGCACGGACTACTCAGGAGAGGAGGTCGTTCGCATTTGCACGATTCCCGTCCCCAGGCCTTTCGGCCGCTTCTTGCACAGGAGAAGTTGAGAGCAACCAAGTGCCCTGATGAATGCTGAGGAGGATGAGCAGACTGCACTTCACTGGGGTTATTCAGAAAATGCTTTGCTTCACAAGTTTTCTTTTCGTTCAGTGAAATGATCTGAAGCAATTTAGACATGAAATTTTAGTTTGGTCTTATGTAACTTCAATAACGCAGAAAATTCTTGCAGCTGGACTAACTAGACTATGCTTGCTGGGCGTGGTGGTGCACGCCTGTAATCCCAGCACTTGGGAGGCTGAGGCAGGAGGATCACTGTGAGTTTGAGACCAGCCTGGGCTACTCAGTGAGTTCCGGGTCAGTCTCAACTACATAGTGAGACCCTTCCTCAAAAAACAAAAAACAACAACAAAAAACTAGACGATGCTTTTCTGTTGTCCTTGAGAAGTGCGTCACTGGGTCCACGGCCTTTGCCAAGAGGTTGCACAGAAGCGCGGACTCATCGACCTCCTAGAGACACCAGGCCCCAGCGGGGTGTGGGCCTGCGGGCTGTCAGGTGGACCCACTACTTCCCGGTGGCGTTCCGCGTCCAGGCCATATCCTTACTTGTCAGGTTCATTGCTTCTCTTTTATGCGTAACTTTCTTCTCAGGGCCTCTTTTTAAATACACAGACTCCCAAAATTAAAGTCCTGGATAGTGAGAAAAGTTCCAGTAGTCCTTATGGTCTCACAGCATAGCAACTACACTACCTGTTTTGCGTTTATTCAGGAAGTTCATCGCTAGTTTTGCAAACCGCAGTAATCATCAAATGGAGGAAACCATTTTGAGTCCCTTGGCCTCTGTTTTGAATCCTTCAACTCAGATGGGGGCTGAATTCATAATTGAGTATAGATGCTTTTAGGACTGGAGTCTGAAGAAATGCATAACAAATAAAAGCTTTGTAAGTAAGGCGGAGTTGGTTTTATGGATAAGTGACCATTCTGTCAGTACTCTTTACATATCTTCCTACCCCCCACCCCGGAAAAGAATCGAATTTTAATGGAGTACTATAATGAAATTCTTACAATGCCATTTCTGGAAGTATCTGAAAAAACTGTGGCAACTAACGTATATATAATACTTAATATGCTCCAGACCTTCTTTAAGCATTTTTCACATTTGCAGAATCCTCACGAGTCCCCGACATAGGGGCCATCATTATCCTCATAATGCAGCTGCGGAATTAAGGGAAGTTGCCCATGTAGGAAGGGTTGCCAGGCCCTGCGGCTGCAGAGTCCGTGCTCTCCGCCAGGGGGCAGCAGACTTAGATCCGGGTGATAAATGTTTAAAGTCATAGCCTCCCTGAAAATGGCTACTTAACTCTGCTGTCACAGCAGGGACAGCACATAAAAGAACAGTGTGGCTGTGTTCCAATACAACTTTATTTATGTACACAATGTTGATTTTCATATATCATGAAATTTTTGCTTTACTTTTAAAAACCATTTAAAAATGTGAATATTGTTCTTGGCTCCTGGCTATACAAAAAAAAAAAAAGGTGAAGGCATAGCATAGTTTGGCAACCACCACTGGGCCTTTCAGGATGCTGGCTTCTTAGCAACGGATTTGGTGGCTGTAAGATAGTGCTTGTGTGTGGTAGCGACTAAGTCGCCCTGTGGAATGGAGAGCTCCCCAGGGTCAGATCCTGTGTATAGAGTGGCTATCTCAGAATCTTGCCTGTTAGCCAGAAAGGTGATCAAGAAGAACTCGTCCATGACTTGTCTCTCTCATGCTATGCAGTAGTAACCAGAGGACATGCAAAGTGACAAAGCTGGATGTCATGCTATCTTATAAATGCTTACCCAGGTAGCATGGATCCTTGTTTTGCTTACTTTTCTCATTGATGTGACAAAATACCTGCCATCCAAAGTTAAATCAGGAAAGGTTTATTTTGCTCACAGTTTGTAAAGGTTTCAGTTGATAGTTGGCCGGTTCCATGACAGGGCAACATGGCAGAGGAGAAACAGTGCATGTCACGGCAGGCAAAAGGCAGCAAGAAGTGAAGCAAGCTTCCTTTTCCCTTTTATCCCATCCAGGCCACAGTCTGTTGGGTGGTGCCCAAGCTTCCATTATACACACCCAGAATCATGCTAAATCCACTTAGTTATCACATACCCTTAATACCAGTCACACATCATAATCCAGCATCACATGTCCATGATCCAACAACCTCCCAAAAGCCCCACTTATGAATGCATGAAGATTTAGGGGGGACATCTAGATACAAGCCACACATAGGAAAAAACTTTATGAACAAATCCTCAAGTAGCATGGGAACTAGCAGAAAGAATCAACAACTGGGATCTCATCTTATTAAAAAGCTTCTGCACTGCAAAAGAAACCATCAACAGAACTAAGAGACAACCTACAATGTGGGAAAAAATTTTTACCAGCTGCTCCTCAGGCAAAGGACTATTATCTAGACTATATAAAAAACTCAAAACATTCAGCCCCCCCCAAATATAAGGACCCGATTCAAAAATAGGCATCTGAAATGAACAGACATTTCTCAGACAAAGAAGTAAAAGCAGCAAGTAAATATATGAAAAAATGTTCCACATCACTGGTCATTCAAGAGATGCTGTTAAAAACAACCCTGAGATTACACCTCACCCCACAAAGAATGATTACTATCAAGAAATTACACAATAACAAATGTTGGTGGGATGTGGGGAGAAAGGAACCCTTCTTCATTGTTGGTGGGAGTGCAGACTGGTGCAACCACTATGGAAATCAATATGGAGATACCTCAAAGAGCTGGGACTAGAGGTCCCATTTGACCCAGCCATCCCTCTGCTGGGTATCTTTCCAAAAGAATTAAAAGCATCATACCACAGTGACATATGCACACCTATAGTTATAGTGGCACAGTTTGTAATAGCTAAAACTTGGAAACAGCCCATTTGCCCCTCAGTTGGAAACTGGATAAAGAAGATGTGGTTTTTCTATAAAATGGAATATTACTCAGCCATAAAGAATGAGAAATTAGATTCATTCATAGGAAAATGGATACATGTTGAGGATATACTCCTAAGTGAAATAAGTCACATATGTGTATGTACCGAATAGTTTCTCTGGTGTGAAAAACTATAATAGTACATATGATCCTAATGAGATAATTGACAATGTGAAATAGGAAGAAAATGGCTAAAGGTGTAGGGAAAGTGGGAAGGGTAGGGGAAAGGGAGTAAGGGAAGGAAAAAAAATAGGAGAAAATGAAAAAATGGAAATAAAATGTTTGCAAATGGGGAGGGGAGGAGGGGGTGAAGGGAAGGCAGGGATGGGGAAAAAATGAGAACTATGACCTGTCATATAAAGGTACAAGGTCCCAATAATGAATGTAATTGTACTGTATCCATAAAAGGTACCAATAAACTCAATGAGGAAAAAATAAAAAATTAAGATACAAGCCACAACAATCCTCCTACTTATAAGCTGTAGATTATGAAATCTAAAAATTTAGGAAAGAAGAGTCAATAACTATAACAATAGAAATGTTTTTCTTTTATGATTTAAATATTCATTCCAATGTAAGACATGGGGATGGGGTGAGGGAAATAAGCTATTTTACTAAGTTCCTGGCATGTGCCAAGTGTCATAGGTGTTTCCTTATGACAAGTGCCCTATAGATGTTTTCTTATAACACCACATCTGAAGCACGTCACTTCCAAAAGACATGTAATTGTTTTATAGATGAGGAAATTGAGGCATACATAAATTTCCCAAGGTTACACGCCAGGTTTTGACTCCTGATCCAAGTCTAAAGGGTAGGGGTTTTAAAATAAAGAAATGATAAAGATACTAAACTGAAGCTCACAGCTTTCTTCCTCTGAGGAATTAGGGCAGAGTGAAGCTACAGTAAACAAAAGTCTTAAAGAACCTCTCAAAAAGTCTCAAATGTCTTCCTAAGGGCAAGATCACTAAAATGAAGAATTATACTTATTTCTTTTATTACTAAATATAGCCTAGTGTTCATTTTAATTTTGAACCAAATAAATATCTCCATGGAATAAAAACTCAGTATTTTCCCTATACCTCCAAATTGCAAATCCTAGATATACACACACTGCAAACCACAAGCCATTTAAAGGAACTCAGGGACAGAATGCACCCAAGCTGTATATTTAAAATATGAAGAGGACTCCCTAACTGGTGTGGACAGTCTAGGGTGGTAGAACAATGTGTCATTGCTTCTAACAATTTTCTAAATCCTAGAAAAATATACAGCCATGTCCCAGGACTAAGGGTTGTGGCAGGAGCACGGCTTAGGGAGAGAGCCACGTAGGAGATGAATCATACTTATTTGAGGGAGTTGTTGGAATCACAGAAACCTTTGCTATCATCTACTTCATGCTGTTCTACAGATTCGAAATAAAGTGAGCTTGGGAGAGGGCGAACAACTGGCTCTTTGCAGGGCTGACTTTCCTAGATGTAAATATTTTCCCCTTTCCAATTAAAGCTGTGATAGTATTTGAATTTGCCTCTTAGAGAGTGTTAGAATCTGAAACTTAAATATTTCTCCAAAGCCGTATATGGAAGGCTTCGTGGCCAGCCTGTGGCACTACGGGGAGGTGGTAGAAAATGCAGGGGTGGTGGGTGGATCCTAGCAGAGGGAAATTAGGACATTGAAAGCACGGTCTTGAAGGAAATGTTGGCCCCTCCTCCCTTTCCGTGTTTCTCAGCTGCCATGAAGTGAGCAGCTTCTTTCCATCATGCTTTCCCTCTCCCCACCACCACAGGCACGAGAAACAACAGAGCCAAATGACCATGGGCTGACAGCTCTGGAGTCATGAGCCAAAATAGGTCTTCTTAATTTTTTTATCTCAGTATTTTGTCTCAGTGATGGAAGCTGACTACCAGAGAGGATCCTGTTCTTTTCTGGTATGTGCATTTCAATTCTTCTCTAATCAAGTTTTCAAGACAAAAGACACACTTCTTTGTCTCTGCTGTCTGGGCTGAACCTCCTCATTCAGGTAGGTAGAAAGAGATGTTACATAATTATCAGTGACTAACTGTGCAAGTTTCACCATTTTCTGCAGTTGAATAATCATAGGTTTTAATCCATCAGGAAAAAATAAACAATAACATTTGCCAGATTAAGGTCTCAACATTTTTGTTCTAACCTGGGTGTGTCACCTCATGGTTTAAAAACTTCAGTCTTAGGTAGAAATGCAAATCTTCTAGTATGAGTAGAAATAAATGTTTTTTTTCTTAAACAGCGTAAGTGACCAATGAATGCTATCTCTCTCTTTTCTTAAGACTGTTAAGAATTGGTAACAAGCAGGATAGTGACCAGTGGGAATAGGAGTTTTTTTCTCTCTTAATGCCCAGAATAAAAACTCAAATAATTACAGAATCATTTTCAACAGATAGTAAAACTTCCATCTTTGATTTTAGTACCTGAGTGTAAAGTTTTAGTACTTGCGTGTCAAGCGGCTTCCTCAAGTATGAGGCAGCCATGCTGTGGGATTTTCCTGCAGAGGGAGGGGACACCAAGGCCTTTGTCTCAGGAAGCAGCTTTATTCCTGCTGGCAGTAACAGTGGATTCATGTCCAAAGACTGAGTGCCCAACATGGTGTAGGTGTACCCTTCTGTACAATTTCTGCGTCATTGTCTCCCTTATCTGGGCATACCCTAACATTTTACAGTATGGTTGGGCATGATTTATGGTACAGAGTTACATTAGATCTACATGTGCACAGAGGCTGATATGGTCACTGTAACACATTCCCTCTAGGACAGGGTAAGGCAGGGCCCTAACACAGCTACAGGTGAGATGGCACATGAAATGGGAAACTAAAGTTTTAATTCAATTTTAAACAGCCATGTTGTTATTGACTCCCCTGTAGGAAGTACAGAGACAATTTCATGTGTGTCGGCTGTCGCTTCTCGGGTCTCAGAGAGAAGCGCTTTCTCCTGGCCTGGAGTGGCGTGATGAGCAAGATAAATTTGTTGTTAACAAACAGAGCAATGGGGATTGGTCGTATGCCCCAGAGCAAATGCTCCCATTTTCTTCTTTTTATTCCCACTGAAGTGGTTCCTACTGACCGGTCCCTTCCCTTAGACTTTCAGTTAGAATGGATCATCAGGATTAACCAGGAAGCACGAGCGTCGGAGCTCCCTGAGGATGAGTATTTCTAACACATTGGATTAAAGAATTACAGGGATCTTCAGCTCAAAAAAAGACTGTGTTCTAGAAGCCAGTTGTTTGCAAGCTGGGAAAGAATATCCCATAAAGTCGTTTAATGACTGAGTCCAAGGCAAGCCTGTGTAGCATCTTCAAAGTCCTTAGCGTCCTGCTGAAGGTGGCCAGTCCTAGAGCCAAGGAAGTGTGGGCTAGGCAGGACTTGGCTCATATTCCGCCCACCCTCATGCTCCTGTCTGTCCTGATGTCACAGTCCTCTGGGAACCAAAGGTGAACTCAGAAAGCAGGCTGCGGAAAGGAAGGAGAGAGAAGCAGTCTCCCATCCACGCAATCAGCAAGGGCTGGGGTGGCTGAGGAGGAGAAACAGACAAACCAGAAGGAACCTTCCAAATTATAGCTCCGGGGAAGGACAAATGACCATCCATGTCTCCGAGACACCTGGTTGGAGTAGAAACTTCCAGAAAGCCAAATATACACAAAATGTATACCGAAGCAACCTCTATGTAAATTGGGAATTTCTTAATTACAAGTAAGATATCTCTTGGACTGATGATATAACTTAGCGGTAGACTACTTGCTTACCAGCAAGTTCCAGGCTCTAGGTTTAATCCTCAGGAAAAAAATCCTCATAAATGATAGCCATTAACTATTTTTTTTTAAAAAAAGCACATTGAACTAAAATTGTCATGTGTGAAATAATTAAAAGTTATCCAGGGAGGAGATCTGGGCAGGGCCAAGAGTTTCTTAAATAACAGGTAAGTTCTATCACAGACATGAATGAAACTATTCTAAATAAGTAAAAAAATATTTTATATTGTTTTCTAATATTTTTTGAGAATCCTTTTCTGAGTTCTGCCACTTCTTAGCAGTATGACCTTGGGCAGGTTAATTAGCTTTTGTAACTATAATTAGCTTTTGTAAAAAAGGTCTCAGTTTTCTCATTTATAAAATGGATGTAACATTATCTACCTCATAATGGAGATAATACATGTAAATAATGAAACACAGTGCTTCGTACATGGTAAGTGTTCAGAAAATATTCCTATTTTTTCCCACTCTTTCTCATAATATTTTCTTCCTAGTGCTTTTATTATTACTACCAAAGTAAACTCTTTAGGGCATTAGAAAAGTTAATGGCAAAACTGACAAAAGAATTTAAGTTAATCGATTCCTGTTTTTGTATTTTGTCTGAGAAGTAAGAAGTAATGCTATACTATTTTGGTAAACAAAGGATCAGTCAATCTAAATTTTAATGTTACATTTAAAATTTTAGATTATTATACACTTTAAATAATTTTCAGATCTCTAAGAGTCTACATAGAAGGATCAATCTATTTCTATCTAAAATATCAAAACTTAACATGCTAGAAGGCAAAATGGGTAAAACTCTTGAAGGCAGAGGTCTAGGCAAGGACTTTCTGAACAGAGCTCCTGTTGCACAGGCCATAGTTTTGAGAATCAACAAATAGGATTGTATCAAATTACAAAGCTTCTGCACAGCAAAAGAACAACCAGCAGAGTGACAACAATGGGAAAATTTTTTGCCAGCTATTTCTCAGACAGAGGACACTTATCTAGAATATATGAAGAACTAAAGAACGCAAACTCCCAAAAAAGAAAAGAATCATAAAATGAGCGAGTGAAATAGACACTTCATAGAAGAAGAAATACAAATGGCCAATGAATCCGTGAAGAAATGCTCAGCATCACTGGACACTCGGGAAATGCAAAGTAAACGATATTGAGACTCCATCTTAGCCCAGAAGGAAGGACCATCCTCAAGAAATCAAATGAAACAAATGCTGGCCAGGCTGTGGGGGGCGCGGGGTTGGGGTGAGGGAGGAGCAGAATTAAAGACACGAGGAATAGTAGGGAGACGGAGCTTTCTCAAAGAGGAAGAGGATCAAGCGTTGAAAGGAAAAGGAGCAGGGAGGGAAAGGGGATAAAAAAGAAATGAAGGTGTATTATATACATACAGCAACTTTACACAAGAAATGGAAACAGTGTGCTACACGCATGTACTGATACAAGTAATTCATAAACATGAATAAAATTAATAAAAACAATAATGACCAAAAACCCTAGATGTTTGAGCTTTAATTACCTTACATGCTTTGCTGAATTTGCTGGAATTACTGTTCGACAGAAGATCCTGTATGTTTCCATTTTACTAAAATGGGGAGGGTTAACTCTAATCTACATCTGATTTTCTCAGAGCAAGACAGAAAGGTGAAGCTTTTCCTTGGTAAATGACAGTAATTTGGCAAAACTGAATTCTCCTGACAGCTGATGCCATGTATACAGCTTTCGATCCACTGTCCTAATAGTCCTGGTTGGGAAGACCAGTTACATTTCTGCAGGACTTCTAAAAACCATAAAGTTGAGAACCCATGTTTAAAATTTTACAATAATTTCCTTAACCACATTTATTGACTTCTACACCTGCTCACTGTTAAATTTTAGCCAGCCCCCAGAGCATTCAGAAAATATTTTATGAAAGCATATTCAATGTTAAATGCTCCCATTTGAAAAATGAACTTTACAGACATTCTCAGCCTGAAAAACAGTAGAAACACACAGTTGAAGGACAACTGTGTTTTGATTTAGAGAAAATTTGAGTTATATGGAAACTGTCTAATATTACAGACGTATCTTTTACTCACCTGCATCTTGAGGTGATTGCTGAAGGACGTGTCCTTTTGTGTGGCCAAATGGAAGAGTCAGAAAGTCTGAACTCTACCAGGGGACGAATCTCGTTACCCTCTCAATCCTTTGCAATCAGTAACCAACCGTAACCACAGTCAGCAGTGAAGGCAGACTTCCTAGAAGTGCTGGAGAGGCTCCCTGAGCAATGTGCTTCCTGCTCTGCTGCTAGGAAGAATGACCTAGGCCAGACAAGATTCAACAGTCACAGTCCTAGACACACACACACACACACACACACCCCCCAGTATTTGACAGACCTTCCCAATCACAAGCATCTTCTGCAGGTTTGCAGAGCTGTGCACTGCACAAGTGGTGAGTAGCTCAGAGTCAAGCTGTAGGAGTTTTGCCAGCCCATTGTTAAATATGTAAGCTGAAATGGTAAGTTAAAAATTTTAACTTACTGAAAGTCGAGGTACTCAAAGTGCATTACTTCCTAACATTTATGCTCCATTTGTACTGTGTAACCGTGTGCTGCTGGACAGAAATCCTCAACTTCAGGCTCGGTAACACATGCATAATATCTTGAACTTGGCACAGTGGGAATATTCACACTAGAGACATCATTTTCCACTGCCAATGAAACATTTATTTTTTTGTCGTGGATTGCCTACTTTAGACGTGCAATGGACACGTTGGAGTAAATGTAAATGATGTGCATTAAAGTGACAAGTGTGTGTGTGTGCATGTGTGCACCTGCCTGTGTGTGCAGCCGCTTCAGCGTGCATCGCACAACCTGGGAAACATTCTTTGAGCATTTTAAGTTATTGTGATATATTCATTAGAACCATTTACTTCGATCTTTGAAGAACTAGTATCACCTTAAGAACGGTCAAATTTGAGTTCAATTTTAAAGCATGAGGTCGGACTGAATGATTTCCAGGATTTTGTAGAAGATATGCAGAATCAAACAATATTCCTATACCTACAAAAACCTAAATGGAGAACACTACTGCAGTGGGTAGGCCTGGAGCTGGAATAAGTCTCAGCTTACTGAAAGTACTTTCTGAAGATGAGAAATAGTTTAGCAGTAAGCCACATAGCAGATTCATTTCCCAGTACATTTAATGGGAAAGTATTAGTGGATTGGGATGCAATTCCACTTATCAAATCATGGTTAAATTCCAGTGACAGGTTGGCTATGAATATAAAAGTTTCACAATAAAAATATTTTGTGAGAATCGTTTGGCTATAATATTGAACACCAAAAGTACTAAACAGACACCAGTCCTGGATCTGCTTTGATCTTGGACTTCCCAGGGTCCAGCCTGTGAAAATTACATTTACCTTCCTATAAACCATCCGGTGTATGGTATTTTGCTATAGCAGTTGGAAGCAATTTTAATGTAGGTAAAAATTCATCATAATGTACATGTGCACAGGCAAGTCTCCCCAACTCTGCAGAGTCGGCTGTTAAACATTCACCAGTGCACCGCTGTCTACCGCTGAAAGGGACAAGAGAAGATCAGTTGAAAAATGCAGGACTCAGAAAATCCATCTGGGCGTCAGGTTTTTTAATTTGATATTGACTGGGAGACAAAAGATAAACGTGTGATTGGGTCATCAGGCACTTTTAGGCGAATTTCAACAGTTTGTTTTCAAGGACCTTACACACTTCTTTCTGTTCTTCTCTTTCAGGTTCTAGGAGCAGCAACCACAGGGCCTTCAGTGTCCCTTCTGTGCCTCTGCAATTGTCCCAAGTCTCTGCTTCACAGTTCAGTCCTCTTCAAGGAGCGCATGAGCTTAAATCACCACGGAGCCCGTTTAAACTCCTGTCTATCGAGTGTAGGAGACCACTTGTAGTTGTTAAAAATAATTTAGTTAAAACGATCTGCCAAATGTTCACATCTTGTAATTGAATTTTTCTTACCAGAAATTAATCTTTAACGTTAGAAAACAAGGGGAAATTTAGAAAAATCAAATAATATATGCTAATTCAATATTATAGAACATAAACGAAAAGAACAGAAAAATCACCTGCCAGAGAAAGCCATTATTTTTATTTTGTTATCTTTTTAAGCTGCTTTCTATTGTTAAAAGAAAAATAGAGACCACTTAAACGTAACAAAGTTCTGTTTGCTTTGCACCTGGGCAGCAGTCCAGAAAAAAGACCTTTTAGGAGGCCCCACCTCATCTCCAGATTATATTTTATGGCCAGAGAGAGGGAAGTAACATACAGGACCAACTTGATGGGCTCTGGCCAGTATTTGCCTCAGAAGGACGTACTTGAATAGTGGTAACCTGTGATTGGCTGAAGCTCAGTTGCTGTGATTGGCTGAGACTCAGTTGCTTGGTTACAAGGCTCCAGTCTTGTTTTTTGTTTGTTTTTTTTTTCTTTTTAATATAGTTTATTGGTACATTTTAGGGATACAGTACAGTTACATTCATTGTTGGGATCTTGTACCTCTACATGACAGGTCTTGTTTCTCAGTTTTTCCCCTTGTCCCTGCCCTCCCTTCACCCCTCCTCCCCTTTCCATTTACAACCACTTTATTTCCATCTTTTCATTTTTTCACATTTTTTTCTTTTCCCTTATTACCTTCCCCTACCCATCCCACCTTCCCTACACCTTTAGACATTTTCTTCCCATTTCACAATGTCAGTTATCTCATTAGGATCTTATGTGCTATTACAGTTTATTGACACCAGAGAAACTATTCGATATTTACATGTGTGAGTATATCCTCAATATGTATCCATTTTCCTATGAATGAATCTAATTTCTCATTCTTTATGGCTGAGTAATATTCCATTTTATAGAAAAACCACATCTTTATCTAGTCTTGTTTTTGAGGTTCTGGGGATTAAAGCCGAGGCTGACTACTGAGCTATACAGCCAGCCAGAGGGCATTCTCTTAGATTAGGTTACAACTCGTGTACACGTCAAGCTGGGATGTAGTTTCACCATATACAGAAGATACTTTGGCACAAATTTATCACTCACATATGATGGCCGATTTATAAATATTTATTTCAAACTGCAAGCCAAAATAAACTTTTCCTCATTAAAAAAGAAATATTTATTTCAGTTTAGCTCTATGCATAACAGTATTATCCCCCCCTTTTTTTTTGCCTTTTTAATTCTTTGGTTTTTTGAGTCAGGGTCTTGCTATATAGCTCACAGTGGTCTTGAATGTACTATGTAGACTGGGCTGGCCTTGAACTTGCAGCCATACTCCTGTTTAGCCTCTCAAGGATTACAGGCATGTGCCACCACACCAGGCTTCTGTTTGTATTATTTCATAACTTGATTTTCATCTATTACGTTGGGTGAACGTCTGTTCATCAAATATTTCTAATACACACTTGTTTTTGTGGTATGGGGGGATTAAATTTAGGGCCTTTGCTTTGGGCTACTTCCCCTGATCTTTTATTATTTTCATTTTGACCCAGAGTCTCACTAAGTTGCTAAATTGCCCAGGCTGGGCTTGAACCTTGGCCCCTCCTGCCTCAGACTCCCATTATTCTGGGGAGATAGGAGTGTGCCTCCACGGCCAGTGGTGTGCACCACTTTAATGACTGCAGAATATTTAACTGTGTGATCATTCTACAGGTTAGTTAATCCATGCCATATTATTTAAATTGTTTCTAAATGTTTATTGCATAAGTGCTGAAATAGCATAGATAAATTTATCTAACTTCCCTGTTTACTTTCTTAGACATATTCTTAAGCAAGATTTGCTGGGAGAACATTTTCAAAATTATGGGTACCTTTTATAAATCGCTCTACAGGAAATTTGCAACAGTTTAAACTACCATAAACAGGACATGACAGCACTTAGACCTATATACGAGGAGGAACATAGTTATCTATAAGGACATTATTTCCTTTCTCTCTTCCTATGGGTTTTAGTAATAGATTAATTTGTTGAGGTTATCATTGGGTATTGAATTTGTGTTCAATTTTTCCTTAGGTCTCACACTGACTGTTGAAAAGGATGAGAGAGCCAGACGTGGTGGTCCATGCCTTTAATCCCAACAAGAAGAAGCTACGGTCAGAATATCACAAGGGAGTTCAGCTGGGTGATTTAATGAGGTGCTGTGTTAAAAGACAAAAAGGACGGGGATGTAGCTTAACGTGAAAGCCCTGGGTTAAAACAAACAGATATGATTTGTAAAAGTAACAAAACTCTACCAATCAACAAATTTAAATTGAAAGGTAAATGACAAACGAGAAAAAACTGCATCACCTTTAACACAAAATATAAATCTATCAGGTGGAGAAGTATTTTTGCTAGAAATTGACTGTATTGGTCCACTCTGCATTTTGGTTCACCACACCCTCACTTGTAGCCCTACACACACACGCCCTTGTCCTAAGCTACCTACGCCAACAACTCAGTATTGACCCTGCTCCTCCCCTCACAGTCCCGCCTTCCTCACAGCAAACCTTGCCCTACCTACCTGTGTGAACCCTCATCTATAACCCCACCCATATCTGTTCTCACCTATGACCCTCATACACATAAGCAAACTCACCCTCACGCACGCACACCCTAACCTCACCTATAAACCTGCACCATTAGTGTCCATTCCTGAACCTACCCAGAAGCTTAATGCCACACTTTAGACATTTTCATAAATCTTACTTCAAAGAACGATACTGATTTAGTGTATGACTTTTAAGCCATTCTTTAGTTGCAGAAGTTTAAGTGCTTGAGTGGGGTCATATTGCTAAGAGTTTCTTGGAGTCCTAAAAAACAAAAACCTAATTCATCAAGTTTCTAATTTATTTTCATTCTAACTACAACTGTCTACATATATCTATTTGATTTTTTTGGTGGGGGGACTAGGAAATGAACTTGCCGGGCAAGTGTGGAGCCTCTGAGCTAAATCCCTATCCCATTACATACATCTGTTTTTTCCTCTCATTGAGTTTATTGGCACATTTTAGGTGTACAGTACAGTTACATTCATCACTGGGATCTTGTACCTTTACATGGCAGGTCTTGGTTCTCATTTTTTCCCCTTGTCCCTGCCC